TCCAGACAATTTCTCCTCCAGGAATCCTATCAAAATTGTTTGCAAAAGAATACAAGCAAGTACAAATAATTGCTGTAACTGACAATGAACTCCATCTATCTCTTATCAAAATGGAATTGAAATACATTGCGGGTAGGTCCTACAGACAGAGCCATAAAAAGGAAGACTTTGGGGTCAGACCAGATATGAACTGCATACATACAGGTTCCTTTCTGCTCAGCTGGTACCCAGGGGGACTTCACCGACCACTTGGGCCTATGCAAAAGAGCTGTCTGTATGTTCTACTCTTTTTCTCCTGATGCTGATAACAATTTTAATCTGGGCTAGCCATGCAATGACATGGTTATTAAGCAAAAGTAGCCATGACAAATAACATCTGATTTTTGTAATTATTTGGCCTTGTAGATTTTGTCCAAGATGATTTATCCCTCACCCTTTTTGGTTTTCCAACAGGGCACCCATTGCTGTTGTAATTTGTCCATTCACTTCTGTTTTTCAGTCTAGAAAAATCAAGAGTCAAAATACTTTATATCCTTTGCTTGTATCCATTTGCTAACCCAATTTGTCTAGCAGGACTTCCAGATTCTGTAACAGCTTTGTTCCCTATGCCATCCATCTGGTAAACTCGCAATATTTGTTTCTCCCACCATGTACATGTATACATCCGGACTAGACTGTTGTTTCTCTGTGTCATATAATATAAGTGGGTATATGCATAATTTATTTATTTATTTATCTTGTCATGTTTATGTAGTGTATATTGGAGGTAGAGACCCTTTGAGAGCTGTCTGCAATAAAATTTCATTTTAATGTATGCCGATTAGTGTGCATTCAAAGTAACAATAAAGTTATTCTAAGTCTTCTAAGTCTAAGTTTTATCAATAAAACATATCAAGTTGTTATCTTTTTTTTTGCCTGTGTAGGAATGCATTTTTTTAAAAAACTGCACTCAAACAAAACAAAAGCCCACAATTATATAGATGGACAGTGAAGGTATTATTTGAGGGGAAAGGTTAACAGATTTCCTCTCTACCTGATAGAGCTCAAAGAAGAAGTTCATCTTTAAGCAATTTCAATGCTACTAGATCACTCAGTGAAGAGAATCTGCTATTTGAAAATAGCAGCCATCATAAAGATTTCAAGGGAAAAATGAATGCTTAATTTATTAACTGTATATCCATACATGACCGTCAAAGATGGTGCTATATAAGTAGAACATATAGTGAGAAGTAGCAATAGAGAAACAGGCTGTGGAATGGATCATGGACTGCACCATCAGGCTGAGCAATACTGGGCTGCAGCAATCTGCAAAAATGATCACTGAACAGCAGCAAAAAAAGATACACAAACTACTTTGCTACCATCCAATGTTTGTTTAAATTTTTACAGTCCAGACACCATGGCTAAATGATATCTCATTTAGGGAATTTTTTTCTGGCATTTAGATATCAATGGGATTTTAAAGGGCAATTCTAGTTATAGCAATAGCAATAGCAGTTAGACTTATATACCGCTTCATAGGGCTTTCAGCC